CTTTTTAAGGTGATGGAAATATTCTAAAACTCACTGTGGTCATGACGGTACAAATCTGTGTATAAATGAGAAGCCTGTGGATTGCATGTATATACTGGTTAAATACAGGAAAACTAAAAAAAAAATAAAATAATAATTTTATGGTTGGGTCACAACATGAGGAACTGTATTTAAAGGGCCAGAGGTTGAGAACCACTGGTCTAGCCAGTTTGGTTCAGTGAATAGAACGTCAGCCTGAGGACTGAAGGGCCCCGGATTTGATTCCGGTCAAGGGCACATGCCCGGGTTGCAGTCTCGATCCCAGTAGTGGGGGTGTGCAGGAGGCAGCTGATCAGTGATTCTGTCTCATCATGGATGTTTCTATCTTTCTCCCTCCTTCTCCCTTCCTCTCTGAAGTCAATAAAATATATTTTAAAAAAGATTCTTTGAGGATATATATGACTAGACTTAAGCCCCCAAAGAGAATTGCTTATTCTTTTTTAAAATATATTTTATTGATTTTTCACAAAGAGGAAGGGAGAGAGAGAGTTAGAAACATCGATGACAGAAACATCCATCAGCTGCCTCCTGCACACCTCCTACTGGGGATGTGCCTGCAACCCAGGTACATGCCCTTGACCGGAATGGAACCTGGGACCCCACAGTCCGCAGGCCGATGCTCTATCCACTGACCCAAACCAGTTTCCGCGAGAATTGCTTATTCTTGGGGTCCACAGCTTTTGCAATAGATTTCAAAGGACTTTCCAAAATGGCTCTCAGTTTATGTTCCTACAAGTGCTGTGTGAAGATTCAGCCTTAATGTCCCAGCTTTACTTGTAAGGTTCTTGTTTGTTTTAGTTCATTAGTCATTTGAGTTGCTTCTTTCATGAACTGCCTTTATCTTTATTTTACTTATTTTTTCTAGATTGCTTGCCTTCATCTACATTGTTTTTCTTTGTTCCTTTTTAGAGAGAGAGTAAGGGAAGGAGGGAGGTGGGGGTGAGAGAGAGAGAGAAAGAGAGAGAGAAAGAAAAAGGGAGAGAAAGAAATATCGATATAAAAGAGACACATCCTGTCTATATGTCTCTCAATTTATTTAGGTCTACTTTGGTTGCCTCTTGGAGGTGCTTTGATCCAGGCCAGGGATGGAACCTGCAACCCAAGTACCTACCCTTGACTGGGAATCAAACCCGTGACCCTTTGGTGTGTGGGCTGACGCTCTAACCACGGAGCACACCGGCTGGGCAGTAATCGGCATAAGTTTGCCAGGTCTACAGTTACTCAAAACCAAATCCAAAAGTGACTTCTAAGATCAAAGGGGTAGTTGATTTGAAGAGAAGATTTATGTCTTTGCCAAATTCAAATTTAGTATCGTCAACAATAGACCTACTTCCTCTTTTGTCCACTTGAGGATGTTGTTTTGTCTTTTGGCAGCTATGACCCCATAGCGATCTGTGACAACACGAGCATAGTGTGTGTGGTGTCAAAGTGCGGTGGAGCCAGCGTCCTGGTGATGTATTCTTTGAATATGTGATACGGAAACTAATGCAGTTCACCTGGCATCGACTTCCTCATTGTAGTAAAGAGAATTCTATTTGCAAACACAGAATGATTATTTTAGTGATATTAAAAAGAAAACCCCAGCAGTAATTTATAACGAATCAGACACTGTGACAGATACCACAGATCACACACTAGTAAGACAGAGGATGGGGAAACGTGTCCTTTGCCCGTGCAATCAGGGAGAGAGGAAAATACTAAGGTAGCAGAATGTGAATGGTCACACACAAATACATAATTCCAGACAATTCCACAGAAGCAACTTATAGGGCAGTGGTTCTCAACCTATGGGTTGTGACCCCTTTGGGGGTCGAACGACCCCTTCACAGGGGTCGCCTGAAGGCCATCGGAAAACACATATATAATTACATATTGTTTTTGTGATTAATCACTATGCTTTAATTATGTTCAATTTGTAACAACGAAAGTACATCCTGCATATCAGATATTTACATTATGATTCATAACAGTAGCAAAATTATGAAGTAGCCACGAAAATAATTTTATGGTTGGGGGTCACCACAACATGAGGAACTGTATTAAAGGGTCGTGGCATTTAGGAAGGTTGAGAACCACTGTAATAGGGGAAAGCGCGGGTTTAGGTTGAGGCTGGTTTCAAAGGGAAGGCATCTGTGTCAGGGAGTCAGTGTTCTTGCCTGTAAGGAACCCAAACTAAATCCTGTAAAACTTAAGCCAAAGGAGATGTATTAGGAAAATATAGAGGTTCATATCGAAACATAGGTGGAAGAGACTCAGGATATACATGGCAATAAAAATGCTCAAAAAGACCGAGAAATAGAAAATACATCAAAGGCTCGATCCCATGAATGTGCATATCCCCAGAGCCATTGTAATGGATATGATAAAGAACTGGCCCCCATCCTCGTATCACTAGCTCAGGATTCCGTGTTCTGGGAGCGAGTCCTAACAAATCAAGCCTAAAACACAAGGGCCTACTCTCCTGACTTTGTGGGGAGGGGAGGGTTGGAAGAAAGATGATCTGAGGGGTTATAGATAGTAGTCTAACGGAAATGTAATCTCCATGGGGGATTTCTCCAAAGAGCCATGTGGGTGTCTAAGTGAAGTGCCTACCCCTCTCTGTAGAAACAAATTTGAAGCTGTGACCAGGAAGATAGGGGAAGGAAAGATCACTGAAGGGTCTATGCCAGCGGTTCTTAACCTGTGGGTCACGACCCCTTTGGGGGTCAAACGACCCTTTCACAAGGGTCGCCTAAGACCATCAGAAAACACATATATAATTACATATTGTTTTGTGATTAATCACTATGCTTTAGTTATGTTCCATTTGTAACAATGAAATTGGGGGTCACCACCACATGAGGAACTGTATTAAAGGGCCGTGACATTAGGAGTGAGAACCACTGGTCTATGCAGAAGAGCCAGGTTGGGCGGAGAAGATGACCTGAGATGCATTATAATCAGTCCCCTGTCTGATTGATTCAGAATCAAAGGAAGTCTATGTGGCTGGAGTCAGTGATGGGGAGTAGACACTAAGACAAGGTGTCAACTCAGAAATTTGCAGGATGTAACTCAAATATTTAACATATTAATTTGAATGTAAGATTATTTTGTTTTCTTTTGTGTTTTATAGCAAAGGAGAAAAAAGACCTATATGTTTTTAAAATATATTTTTATTGATTTCAGAGAGGAAGGAAGAAGGAGAGATGGAAACATCAATGATGAGAATCATTGATCGGCTGCCTCCTGCAAACCCCCCACTGGGGATCAAGCCCACAACCTGGCATGTGCCCTCGACCAGAACTGAACCTGGGACCCTTCAGTTCGCAGGCCAACAGTCTATCCACTGAGCCAAACCGGCTAGGGCAAGACCTATATTTTTTAGACCTGTTTTTTTAAGTCTTTTTCATTGCCATTTAGAAAATTGATTTAAAAGTAGTCATAGAGTCCTGGCCTGTGTGGCTCAGTTGGTTGAGTGTTGTCCCATGCACTGAAAGATCGCCGATGCAATCCCCAGTCAGGACACATGCCTGGGTT